TGCCCCTATGAAAGCCCTTTTATTGAAAGGGAGAACTCTCTCTCGAATTAGATCTGAACTTGAACTCTTACTTGCTCACGAGCTAATCTTGAGACATAGTGATCTAGCGCGACCTACACTGTTAGCCTTTTACACTCTTTTCTTCCTCCCCACCATTCTAACTTAAGCTTTGGAGTATTCCCACCGGGCAAATCCCTCAGGAATCCTTCATCTTCCTCTTCTCAGGTGTCGTTCGTTGCCAATAAGGAGCCAATCAGCAGCCAGCTAGGAGTGCCCGGATCGTGCCCCATCAAATATGTTTTAGATATGTTATATTTATTTTTATATTTTTTGACTCAGCTTTTAATTTGTTATTTATAAAAATTTAAAAATTACAATTTGAGGCCAAAAAGGGTTTTTCGATGAAAATAATGGGTCGAATGGGTGCAAAGTTATGGCCTCGAAAGTTTGCGTACATTGAGTGTGCAACCCGCTACCCGGTGATCGGGTCGAATGGTTTTTGACCATCTGATGGGTCTTGATTGAACCGGACCCAAAATCTTGACCGGGTGATGGTTCGAACGGTTCGCTAGACCAGGTCAACGACGGGTTGAAAACATTGAAAAGTGCTTTTACTTTTATAAAAAAATGCTTTCGTAAAAGTGTTTTTTATTAAAATGCTTTCATAAAGTAATTTTATAAAAGTGCTTTCATAAGTAATTTTATAAAAGTGCTTTCATAAAAGTAATTTTATAAAAGTGCATTCATAAAAGTGTTTTTGTAAAGTACTTTTATAAAGGTGATTTTGTAAAATTTGAAAGAAAATGAAGGACAAAATAGTCACAAATGCTTAAAGTGCTTATTAAAGAAAAAGACTACCAAACGCCCAATAAAATTAAGCACTTTTTCTTAACATAAACACTCCCAAACATGGCCTATTTAATACTAAATAATAAAGTTCTATGTAGGTACATGTATAATTGGATGGGATCAAGCTATGAAGCTTAAAAAAAAAATTGATTGAGTTTCAAATTTTTTTTTATTAATTGAACTCAAGCTCAACAAGATATTAAATATACTCTAAGTATCAATACAATTAGAAAAGATAGAGATGGGGATGTGTTTTTAAACAATATAGGTTTTGATTTGTTTTTAAAACCAACAATAATAAAAACAAGGGTAAAAGACTTAAGCCTCCCCTTTAAATACCAAAACATTAGGGGTGTCCACGGTTTGGTTAACCGAACCATGGCCCCTTTTTGTAAATCGAATCAGTGGTGCCGGTTTTTTCATTTCACTAAACTGAAATCGAACCGGTACCACCGGTTAACCGATCCACCAGTTTCAGTTTTTGACCGATTTGGTTCTTCGATTTTTATATTTATAATATATTATATAAATATGTGTATAATATTATATTTTAAATAATAGATGATATATAGTATATTATAAATATTTTAAAAATATATAATATATTTGTAAATAGATCATTATAAATATAATATAAGTATATATTTATATATAATGAATATATATTTATATAAAATACATAGAAAATATGTGATATATATTAAATATATATATAATATACATATAAATATATATCGGTCGGTTCGGTTAACCGTCAATTTTTTTATAGGTTAACTGAAAATTCCGAACCAGTCCTTCGATTTTTTGAAAATTCCGAACCAAAATTGAACTGATCGATTCGGTTAACCGCATTTCTTAGTTTAATTCATTTTTTCAGTTTTTCATGAACACCCCTACCAAACATCCCCTCATTTTTCAAAATAGACTTAGACCTTCCTTCTTGGATGATATCAGCAACAAAAACCTCCCATCCCTTAACCCTCTGTCAATATCTGTTGGAACGTGATATCATGTGTAGTTTAGGTTTTATTTTTTTAAATCTCAATCTTGCAAACCTCCCTTCACCGGGCAAAGGCAATCTTGAACAGATTCCGATCACCGGTGTCCAACTCACCACAACAACTTCATCAAGTGATATGAAACAAGGACCAAACCCGTTAATAGTGGATCAATTTATTTATTTTTTTAATTTGATCGATTGAACTAAAATTGGAAGGATTTATAGGATCTGGGTCAGACATCAGTCATTGAAACGAAGATGAGTGGAGGGGAGGTGCATTTCATCCATTTGAGAGGAAGCCATCAGCCGTTGCAACGACAATACCATCTACAGTTGAAGCCTAGGGAATGTTGATTTTCAGAGCTAAACCGATGGTTCTTGAATGCCATTCAACAGTTGGGTGGTTCTCATGGTTGTAAATCAATTAAATCAATTTTCTTTAACTTGCTCCGGTAAATGTGAATTAACAACTGATACGCGAGTGTTTTATTCATCTATTCTCACATGCAGTATCTTACTAGTCTAGGAACTGATGCAGGTAGATGGATTTACAAATGAGGAAATCAAAAGCCATTTACAGCTCTGTATCATATCCATGAATTCTAGATTAAACATTAAGCATCTTCCGATTTGTGTTTGTTTGAAATTTTATACTTCCAGATTTTATTTATTTATTTTGAGGAATTATAGATCTTTTTTATTAAACAGTAGCATGGTTAGTTGATAGCCTTCCATGGCTGAAATAAGCCTATAGAGTGGAAGAGATTCCAATCGCTTGGATTGGGATGGAATTGGGACTATCCATCCCATTCGCGGATTTGGACTTGACCAGCAATGGTGGGTCGAGCATTAGTTGTCGGAAAGAAGACGAGTGCCCTTGTGAGATGTTATCACAGCTCCATTGGTGGTAATTGGATTCAGTGGTGATATGAAAGGTGGTCAAGTTCATTGTTCCAAAGTTGAAGATGATGGGTTTTTTTTCTTTGAATTAATTATATATCAATCTAATTCCAAAATTAATTTAGGGTATATTAGTCATTTTGCTTTCTCCATAATAGGGTAAAATACAAAAATCTTCCCTGAAGTTTCTAACAATAATAAACCCTGTCTAGTTTAATTTTAGCAAAATCCTCTCCTTTATATTCAAAAAAATCGACAAAAACCTCACTTCTACTAATGAATATGACAGAAAACGTTAAATCGTTGATATTTTTTCAAAATACCCATTTTACTACTGTACGAATTATTGTGTACCTATGTTTACTAAAATACCCTTTACCCTTTCTTATTATCTTGGTTCCTGAGGAATGGATGAAGAACGAACAAGGAAGACAGGGAACTAGACAACGAACCAGAAGAAGAACGACGAACCTAAGAAGAAGAAGGATTTCGGTCACACGACTTCTACAAGGCTTTCAGCAGAATGGGAAAACGCCTCAAGCACAATGCACAGTACAACATTAAGTTTCTCTAGAAGTCGGCACCTTCAATATATATATATATAAAGCTGTTAATATATATTATATTATATTATTATTATTATATCATATTATATAATATAATATAGTTTTAGATAGTTTAAAAAATAGAAAAATAAATTTATAAATATACAAGTAGGAATGACCCGGAATGGAGGAAAAGACAAAGATGGAGTTGAGATTTCTAGCTACAATGAGATTTGAAGTGGGAACAAAAGGGGCATTTGAATTCTGGGTCGGGAGCAGGGCATGCAAAACCCAACCCCACCCTGTTGCGATTCCTAAAGGTGTAAATTAGGCCGTGTCGAGCCAGAGGTTTCAGGTCCATGGGTTAGCACTATACGACACAACCGAGCGGACCATGTTGTATGGGGCCTATGTGCTGTCACAGCCCATATATACTATATATATAATATATAATTTTATTTTTATTATTATATATATAAACAATTATATATATATATATATCAAAATTCATATAAAATAAAAATTTATGATTTTTTTATTTTTTATCTATTTTTATATTTATATTAAAATTTTCATTGTTTTTTTATTTATTTTTTAAATATGGCTTGACTCGACTCACAGCCTAACCTGACCCAAGGCTCAGCCCGCAACACAGCACGGACCTGTGTGAGCTCAGGCCATGGGCCATGCCCCATGCCAATCCGATCCCAAGGCTGCATTTGGAAACGATGCAAATGGAGTGTAAATCCTAGTTCATGGTAAATTTGCACTCTAGTTCACTTTTGCTTGTATTTGGCAACATTGCATTTGCTTGTAAATGCAGACCAATGCATATTTACATTGATAATAAAATGTAAAAATACACCAATAAAAAAGTAAATTTGCATTCAAGTGGGCTTTTGATAAAAAAAAGCATATGCTTTATTAGAATTGTGTTTGCATCCATTACAGCTAAAAGTCTGTTTGATAAAAAAAGTAAATTTATCAGTGCGAAACTAACCAAATTTTGTAATTTATATGAACCGTTTTACACTCTACATATTTGCATTTACACTTATTTGCATCGTCTCCAAACGTAGCCCAAAGAGGGAAACACGGCCAAACACGACCCACATTTGCACAAGCCCCTAGCCATTCCTACTTACTTTAACGTCATACCATCTAATTCAAGGTCGCAACAATACACCAAGGATGCATTTGTTTTAAGTGTAAATTCAAATTTACACCGATGGAAATTTTGATTCCGATTTAGTGATCGGTGGAAAATTGATCAGCGTGTTTTGGAATTTTTCTCTCGTTTGGTTGTTCTGAGGTAAAAGTGAAACTCTGCTATGCTTTGAAACTCCGCTCYAATAAAGTCTCTTGAAACCTCTTTGTCGTCGATCCGGTAAACTTTGCTCTGAAATTCCATAGAGTCGACATCAAACCTGCGGATCTCTTTAAGTGGACGACAATATTTACATCGATTTTCATATTGGAAGGAGACGATTGGAGGGAGAAGAAAGAAAAATTTGCATTGATTTCCAATGTAAATATTGGTAAGAATGGAATATTACATCGATTTATGAGACAATATTAACACCTCTATCAAACAAGTGTAAAATCAAATTGGGGTGTAAAATTTACCCTGATTCAATTTTCCGACTCAAACAAACGTGGCGGCCGTGATGGAGGGTTTTAGTGCAAGGCTACGCCAACAATAGTATCAAGAGTCTTCCGATATCATCCTTTCGGTATCTCATATAAAAAAAGCCAATTTCCATTTATTAGGGTTTTAACGAGGGGAACACTTGAGTTGAGTCTGGAGAGAGAGCGAATCGGTTTGTTAGGTATCGGCTGCTGCTTCGCTGACCGCAATACTAGGCAGAAAGACTCACAAATAACGAAAGAAAGGCGCGTGTTCTCCACCTAACCACCAGGCACCAGCAGCTTGAGGTTCGACCGGMTCGGATATCAATTTCGTCCATTCTTCTCTTTGCTTCTCGGAAGACAGAGCGAGAAACGAGGTCCAGCCTCATAGCGGGTGCTTTTATCGGCAGATTCATGGAATTTTGAACTAGGGTTAGGGTTTGATTCGATAATATATTCTGCTTTCTCTGCGCAGGTGCGGTTTCGGTCCCTTTATTCTTAAGGATTTCTGCTTATTTTACTGACTTTTGTATCTGGGATTTTGTTTTTCAATTCATTCATATTTGACGATTTTCTTTCGACTTTTCGGGAGCTTTCGTCTCTTTTATTTAGGAAGACGTGAGAATCCATTGCACCTGGAGTTCCTTTTTTTTCTTTGCAACCGTAGCTGCAGTTTCATTGTTTTGACCTAATTCTGTTTTCTGTTAATTTTTTACCGGAATTTCTTTTTACTTCTTTTAATATTTGTCCTATTTCCTTTCAGCTTTTTATCTCTTAAGTTTAATACTCATTCAGGCAGCGAAATGTTAATATTTTTGCAGCAAAATCAGTTCTATGTATTTTTTTTATTTGTTTGTGCAACCAATGATTTGATTGGTTTCGTGTGGGTTATCATTGTAACAAGTTTTAACCGTAGTTTTTAATCTCTTCCTCTCTCTCTCTTTTCACCTGAATGATAGCTCTAACCAGATTTGGGGCTGCAATTTCTGTTTAATCTATTCTTCTATTTTCTTGCCTGTCTACCTAAATTGGCATTTACTTATTATTTGCAACTCTTTCCTTTCCCAACTCAGGTTCCTAAACTCGAGTAACTTATTGGAGAAGCGGAAACGGGGTTTTCTTATTCAATAGATGTATCAGAAATTATGAAAATTTCTACTGTGCGTAGACTTAACAGTTTGCTTTCACGTGATAGTGGGATTTGGGCATCACTCTTTTGTTTAAGAGGGTAAGATGCCATCTACATATTTTTCAAGGCTGAACTTGGACTTCCGGTCTGGATTTCGCAGACTGATCATAGGTAAACAAGGAGGGCTTGACAAAACTGTTGGATTTCTATTTGCACAAGGGAATTTTTTGCTTGGGGATTCTGGGTTGTCAACTTTAAGGCCGTTTTCAAGTCTTGGGGGATTGAATTTACTCTTACGCCCTGGTACAATTTTTGCTGCACGATCAGATCTCCGCATTGCTGAACAAAAGAGTCTTGCTGTTTTTGTTGGTGCACTCTCACGAACATTTTCAATTCCCTCCGTTTCTGGTCCATCTTGTCAGGTTTGCGGGTATCATATCGATCGTCTTTYATCTGACTCCACCCAGCTTTCCCTCCGCAGTCCATCTTTTACCACAACCATGGCTGCCTGTGGCTCTAGAGTTGTATTAGGTGATMGGTGTATAGATAATTTAACATCAAGGAATGGCCATCTCTTGAGCTCCTTCAATCGGGCTGGCCTGTCTTGTAGCAATAGACGTGTGGATTGTTGCAGAAAAACAAGCATGAGTTTGAGAAATCAAGAACCATCCAACAGTTATCAGGTTTATGGGTATTTCATGTTTGATATAGCAAGGAGGAGTTGCAACTCCCATCCATTAATGGGATCAGGTTCAAAATATTTTCATGGCTCATCTTCTGCATGTTACTCCTTTGGCACTGCTCCTGATGTATCTTTTGATGGCTCAGCGCGTGAAGAACAGAGTGCAAACTCTGCTGTTTCAACTGAACAGTATGCAAACTCACCTGGCTACTTCTCTTGAGTCTCTATTGTTTTTGTCTTTTGATTCTTGAGATTGCAAAAGTAAGTAGGAATCCAAAAAAAATTGTAATTCTTTACCTTCCAACCATAGCAGTAAAGTGGAAATCCTAGCCCATAAATGCAATTCAGAAAAGAAATTAAAAAGCTGATTAAAAATTAAAGCGAACATTAAAGGGAATGGCCAAGGTTGCAACTGAGAAAGTCTACCTTACCTTGTCCTTCATCTTTTTAAACCTCATTCTCTTAGGGATTGAATGATAACTTGTACCTATCCTGTTTTTGTTCATCCACACAGACATGAGAAGATTTGACCATGGTGGCACTAGTTGCACTGTTACTTCAGTTTACCTAGGATCCATCTCCAAGACCATTTACAAAGAGATGATGGATAAGAAATTGTGCCTCAATGAAAGGGGAAGAAACTTAGACAGAGGTTTTATAAAGTTGTTATTTCATTTCTTATGAGATGTTCATGAATTTGGATAGCCATCATGCATCACTAAATTTGATAATAAACTGCCTCTATATGTAAGACACAAATTTGATAATAAACTGCCTCTATATGTAAGACACAAATTTGACTAGTTGTGCAAGCCCAATCTGATCCATTTCAGGTTCTGGTATTTCCTCCTGAGCTTGAACTAGAAAAAATTTCCAGCTGGTCCAAGCATCCAACATATTATTCAGGATGTGTCACACAGAATCTTGGATTCATGTTAAGCTCAACCGGTCTTACACCACCCATTGTGGCACAAGATAAGTTGTTGGTGGAATTCAATTGTTGGTGCACCTTCACTTTTCCCCCCAAATATGATCTTCTAGCATCTTTAAGTAGATGCATGTAAATTGGATGCCTAGGATGTAAATCCCCTAGCTCAACAAGGAGCAAGTAGCTGATTTTGGGTGGATATCATTTAGAGTAAAAGAAGCGTTATAAATCGGAAGTCTTATCTGGAAGACAAGGTGAGCAGCAATGGGCTGGCTCTACTGTAACATGCACACACACACACACACAAATCTTACAYAAGTACTTTGTATTCCTTCTATCATCAATAAAATCTTACAGCTACTGATAAAAAAGTAGATGCATGTAAAGGTTTATTAATGCTACCTGTACCAATTGCCTTCATTGGTATTCCTTACACTCCATTTGGGAAGAGTGCATATGCATGTTCAGTTTTGCTGGTGTTTGGTAGGAATGCATTTATATACTGAAAGTGACAGCTTTCACAAATTTCAAGGCATGTTTGTATCTAAAATGAGCACAAAGTTTGCATCCAAAAACTGGACGCAAACTTTGCACTCTAATTTGATCAATGTTATATATTTCAATCTCAGTATTTGTGTTTGCACCCATTACAACTAAATTTCATTTGGCAAGAAAGTAAATCTATCAATGCAAAACCAAACTAACTTTGCATTTGCATGGACCGGAATTTACTCTACATATTTGTATTTGCACCCTATTTGGCACTCTTCCCAAACGGAGCCATAAATTCCAATCCAACTATTTCAACGAGGTTAAATTAGGTTTCTCACTTAGATCTTGTTCCAGAGGCTTAAATATGCTGAACAGATTATTCTGTGGATAATGAAATGGTTCAGTAGTTACTCCAATTGGCCAATCATTTCAACATGTTTTTACTGCTTGATGTTGATCACAGAAAAATCCTAGGTGATAGAACCCTGAAGCTGCTTTCGGGGTCATGTTACCTTCCACACCCTGATAAGGAAGAAACTGGTGGAGAGGATGCTCATTTCATTTGTGTAGATGAGCAAGCTATAGGTGTAGCAGATGGTGTTGGCGGATGGGCAGATCTGGGTATTGATGCAGGACAATATGCTAGAGAACTCATGTCAAATTCAGTAACTGCAATTAAAGAAGAGCCTAAAGGTTCTATTGATCCGGCTCGGGTTTTGGAGAAAGCTCACTTGACCACAAAAGCTAAAGGATCCTCAACAGCATGCATCATAGCGCTTACAGACCAGGTATGCTGTTTTTCATACCATGCTTAGTTTACTATCCTTTCTTTTTGTCAGGTTGGGGAGCTTTTGGCACTCTGTTACCAACTTCAATAAAAGGAAATAGTCTACTATTTTTCTGTTTGATCCACACAAGCATGTTAATTGTGGAAAATAATTTATAAATTTTTCCTGCCTTCTTGGTTGGCACTTGGCAATTTCCTAAAATATAGTTTCTAAATTCCTCATGGCCAAATGGCAATTTCCAGACATGTGTAGATGTTTTTCACTGAAACATGGTGCCTTGATTCAGTTTTCTTATTTTAATGCAAATTTAGTGTTCTCACTTATTACTTCTCAGGCTATGAACTTCATCAGGAGAATCCGCAATCACCCCCTCCCCCAACACTTGTTTGTGCATGTGCGTGTGTTTGTTTTACTGCTTCTACTTCAGCTGAATCTTGTGATTATTCTTGCAACTTGGAGATTGTTTGACATACTATGGGTTGATCTATTTTCCTTATTGCAGGGTATCCATGCAATTAACCTGGGGGACAGTGGGTTTATTGTAGTTAGAGATGGATGTACTGTGTTCCAATCTCCTGTACAACAGCATAGTTTCAATTTCACTTATCAACTAGAGTGTGGAAATGGAGGTGACTTGCCTAGCTCTGGTCAGGTTAGTTGCAACTTGCATTCTTTTCCACTACATGCCTGGATTTTGGACATGCACACAAACCGATAGTTTTGGTTATGAAGCACATGGAAAACATTGCATGGACACATCCTAATTGCTAGCGTTGTATTCAACAGTGAGGTAACCATGGTTTTCTATGCCATTAATGTTCATGGATGCATGTTGACACCAGTGGCTATCTCATTTTTTTTAGTTGTTAACATGGTAAAATTTTATTGCATATGTAAAACAGAGAACTTTACGCTCCAAAATAGGTAGTAGCAAGCAAAAAATAGAAAACGCCCAATGGGTGTCCAATCCCTCTTACAAGCTTTTGAAATTACACAGTTTTTTTTTCATCAGAAATTACATACACAGTTCAGTTACACAATGATATCACTCCCCAGACCTAGCATACTACATTCTAGGGTGTTTTTTGTAGCCCAATCTTGTCAACTGTTAGCGGACCTAAGCATCCATCTGAACAGGCAATTCAGATTAGATGAAAGATATTTCCCTTTCCCGATCAGAAATCAGAAGATCCATGGATCTTCATCTGCACTGGATCAGCTTACAGCTACTGAGAGCTACATGACAGTCATCTTTAACCTCAATCCCATTCTGTTCTGCATCGGATGCTAGCTTAAGACCTTGACATGCAAGTGGTTCCACTATTAAAAGAGTTGCTAACACCCACTGGGCCTCTGGAACTTATCAAGATTTAAACTTGTTATCTCTAAAATCTCCCCCACACCCAATTGATCTGGGTTGCTAAAGGAACAAAGTTTGGTTCAATCTTTGATTCTTCTTGGTTTTTTATTAGTAACCAAGATGGGGTCAAGTGGATTTGGCTTTTTTTTTCATAATCAAATAGAAATTATGTTAATGGTGAAAAAGAAAGAAAACCCTGTTCTTAAGGTGTAGCAAGGAGGGACTGAGTACAACTCTACCAAAGGTAAACATAGAAACTGATCAAAATGAATAGAAAGCAGAAGAAACAGTACAGAAAGTAAGTTCAGCCTACCCACAAATTGTTCCCACATCCCTACCCACAGAGCACCCCCACCGTGTGTTGGGAACATCTCCCCATGAATGACAGGGGACATATTCTCAATGCACAGTTGTATTGTTGTAACTTGTAATGTCTCGTGGGGATGTGGGAACAACTTTTGTGGGTAAATAGATCCGAGCCCAAGCTTTCTAATAAAGATCTGAGATACTGTGACATTCTGCAGCTGCCAATGTCCAACCTATTACCACCCAGCAATTACTCTTGGGTTCTTTTTCTATGAATATTTTCTGATGTTTTTTTGGTGGTTTTTGTGGTCTTTTTGTTAAAGCCACAAAAAAAGCATTCGGAAGTTTTTCTGATACTTTTTGTTGCAAGTTCTGAAGTTTTCCCAGATGCTATGTAATTTTTGGTTGATCAGTTGGTGTTAGTGTAGCTATGAGCATGGTTCTTGAACCGTTGTTGACCTGGACGGTCGGACAGTTTGGCCTAGGAACCGTCCGGGCAACCGGTTCAGTTTCACCCTTAACCTGTATCTTGGCCAAAAACCATCGACTTGGTCAGCGACCTGCTGGCCCAGGCAGTCAAACTGTTGACCTGTTTGACCCTGACAATGTTTTTTGGCTGTTTTTTATTTTAATAATTTTTTATTTTTTTAATTAAAAAGGGCTGTCCATTTGAACCGGGCTGTCAAACTGCTGACCCAGAAACTGGTGGCCAAAGTGGTTCCATTCCGGGTCAGTTTTTTAAAACATTGGCTGTGAGGTTAATAATAAAAGAGGTGGACATTGTTCAGTAGGGGAAAAGCGTGAGAGCCAGATAAATATGGTTTATTAAGTTTATTTTGTTGTCTATCACTCTTAAATGCCCTTAACCTAAGATGGTTGTAAGGCGTGCCTATTAAATTTTAAAATCATGCAACTTTGATAAACACTGAATAACCTTTTTTGTTGAATGAACCAGGTTTTTACAATTCCTGTTGCACCAGGGGATGTCATAATAGCTGGTACAGATGGTCTATTTGACAACTTGTACAACAATGAGGTTACAGCTGTTGTTGTTCATGCTGCAAGGGCAGGATTTGAGCCTCAGGTAACAGCTCAGAAAATAGCAGCCTTGGCTCGCCAACGAGCACAGGACAAAAACAGACAGACACCTTTCTCAACAGCTGCGCAAGATGCTGGGTTTCGCTATTATGGTGGCAAACTTGATGACATTACAGTTGTTGTCTCCTACATCACCTGCTCCAGTAAAGAATGACAAGCTTTCTTCCATTTAAACCAGAGCATTTTGCTCCCCTCCATGRCTCATGGTTGTAGATTTTACCTTTCTTAGGGGTAAGGGCTTTTGTAGAATCAACTTTTTATCTATTGCTGTGTAATCTGTTAAAGATATGGGAAGAGTAGTAGGTCACCTATCTACTGAAGCTTTTCTTCAATGGAATCTTGCTATTCAGACATTGCTCCAGATTGTCATTTTTATCCTCTTTGTTTCCCCTTGCAACGAGTCTCTAAGATAGTAGGGTCAATTGATGTATGATATAGTTCCCATTGACCGGGATTCGCTCCCGCCCTTGCCCTTCCAAGTTCCAACCCCAATCCCCAAGTTTACCTAGAAAAAAAAGTGAGTTACTAAAGCAGTGAAATGATGAGGGATGTTTGCTTTATATTCTTTATCAGTTTATCTGATATATGTACTTTTTTATATAATCCAAATTTATGTATCATAGTGCAAATTAATATATTTCCCATATTGCGGATGGCCGGCAGGCGGCCTTTCTCAGTTTTGCATTTTTGTACTCTGGTTATGTTCCAATCTGAGTTTCAAATTTGGAAAATCCATAATTGTCCTCATGGCTGCTGCATTGCATTTGGTTGCAGTGCATGAGAGTGCAAATAGGCTGAGTGTTAGTTGAAAACAATAAACTCTTTAACGTACCCTGAAAACCCATATACGTAGTTTAAATTTTGCTCAGTTTTTAAGATGCAAAGAGAAAAAATAAAACTTTTGCACTAGGTAGGCAGGCAAATCATTTGTTGTCCTTGGTCTCCATTTTATCAAGGCACTCAACATCCGCCAAAGCACCAATCGATCCAGTTCGGACCGACTGTTGATCAAGGTAAGACTAAGAGATAAAGTAGGATTCTATTAATTTGGCAAGTTGACTTTCATTCCTCATCCCGGTGCGGCTTACCTACCAGTTTCCTGTAAAYGACACCTTACACAATGCACGATGGTGAAGTGAAATCAACTTCAACCCACCCTAACTCAAGCACTCGGAACTCTTTATGTCTTTCATTTCATTTTCTTTTACAGATTGAATTCTGTCTGTAATTGGCGATTGGAGAGAAGCTCAGAGGATTGACTCTTCCTTCCACTAGTCTAGAGGTATTCCCGACATATTGTTCCGACATTCCGGCTATCTTCTTAATTACAGAGGTAGAGTTTCACAATCTGGCTCTTGAGGTTTCACCTGAATTACTAGTCATATATATTTTTTATTTTCTGGTGTGTTGTAATGCACAGCACAAATTCACAACAATAGAGGGGACTTTATTAGAAACTACAGATCAAGATCATACTGTAGGATGCACTCAGACACTGGAAGTTCCAACAATTTACATCAACAATTCCACAGAAATAAACTACTTGACTGCAACGAGTGAGGCGCGCGCCTACAAAATCCGAACGCTAGACATAAAATACAGAAAACCAATCTGGAGACGGTGGGAGTGTGGGACACTCAATTTATTTATTTTAACACTCGCTAGATAGATAGTCATAGTTCAGGTGGCTAATGGTTGACGCTCTGATCTTTTTTCTTTTGAGTACTACTGTCAAATTCTCCATTATTTTTCTCAAGGTTTTTCTTCATTCATCCTCGCTTCCACCACCTTCTTCGCCTTTACCCTGCCTTCGTTGCTTCTCCTCTTGTCTTCTCTCCCCTTCCTCCTCTGTCTCTGTCTCTTGCTCTTGTTCCCCGCCCTCTTCCTCCTCTCCCTGCCTTCGCTGTCTCTGCTCTTGTCTTCTCTCCRCTTCCTCCTCTGTCTCCGCCTCTTGCTCCTCTCGCTTTCTCTGTTCCTCCTCTCCCTCCCTTCGGTGTCCCTCCTCTTCCTCCTCTGTCTCTGTCTCTTCCTCTTGCTCTTGCTGCTCTCTCTTCATCTGTTCCCCCTTCCGCTCCTGCCTTTCTCTCTGAATTTCCTCCTCTGCGCATGATGTGCAATCTGAGATCATCGAGTCTCCGGAACTTAGTAATTCATCAATTGTTGAAGTGGAGACATTCATCGACTTCGCCAAGATGTCTCTATCCAATTTTCGAAGCATCGACCTTTTCCCAGCTAGGAACTCAGGGTGGTTTTTCTTTGCCATTGTACTGAATCCCATGATAACAAACGAATTGTTATTGAACGAAATCTGGGCTGTAAGATGGAAAGGTGGAACCACGAAGACATCTCCCTCTCCGACCTTAAACCTCTTGTTTTTACAGTCCGAGTCGCTTGTTCGGCTCGAGCAGACTATGYGAACCATTCCTTGGCCGTGTACCACAATCGCTATCTCAGTTGCTATTGGATTCCAATAGGGCCCCATCAGAGAACCCTTCATCAGTATTAGAAATCAACAGACCACACTCTCATCAGTAGGCATAGCAGAGTAAACCAATTAAAGCATATTTGCTACATATTTGAAGCAACTAACCTTGGTTAAGTTCACCATGAACACTCCCAGATTGAGATGTTTTAGTGAAGGCACGTCCTTCCTGTTTGCCATCTTGCTCCAGCCATTACAGTTCTGGAAATCTGGTGTTGCTTTTAGAATATTGAATGCCTTTGGCTTCCTTTTGTTGCTAATATCTTTTAGCAATTGCCGGATGTTAAGTTCAGGTTTCCAGATGAGGTGGTCCGTTTCGTCCTGAGACGTCACGTTCACAATTGATGGAGGCTTGGTGGCGGTTGTAATCTTCTCTATCAGTTCTGGGGGGACCTGACCAATTTGAACCAAATTACCTTAAAGAATCTAAGCAATTAGTTCAAATGGGTAGAATAAATTCTGAAAAAGAAAAGAGAGATCACAACCTTGAAAGATGACTGGAGCGTCATTTTATCAAAACCCAAAACCAGATCGCTCAACGTCGAATATGTCCTGGYAGGGGGCTCCTGCATGTAGATGTGTGTATGTGTGCATTGTCGTAATGAAATTTGTATGAATAAATAAATAGAACAGAGTTAAATAAAGGAAATAACTAAGAGTAGCTACTTCTCATTTCTCACATACATGCAAGCTTTCTTCATTGGAATTAACAAAGATAGCATAAATCCTGAGCTTCTCCTCCCCTTTGGACTCTGGGCTGCTACTCAGAGAGAAAACTGAACCCGAAGGAAGACTAAAGATATCTCCTCGTTCTACGTTTATCTGGCTCTTCTTCTCTTCTTCATCCACCCAATTCAAGCTCCCATTCCCTGCACCAGCAGCAGGAGAGATAGAGTTCATGCATGGTGGGAACGAAAAGAAAAAGATGAACAACAGAATATGATGGGTTTAATTCAGATTCAGTTTTACCTGTGTGAACGTATAGCACCATATCTGCATGGAGTAATGCAGGGAGGAACAGGGAGTTAGGCTCCAAGGTGATGAATTGTAGACGATAGGCCCCTCTAATTCCATCACGGACCTCAACGGCTGAGACCTTTCCGGATTCCGTCGAAATGACGGTTCTCCGGCGATCTTTTGTGATCAGTGATCTCGCATCAGATACGTCATTCTTCAAAGCAATAACTTGCAAAGATGCATCATTCTTCAGAGCAGTAACTTGCAAAGAGATGAAAAGAAGAGAGAAGAGGAAGAAAAATGAAAACGACCAATTAATAGCTCTCTTCAACATCATTTCATGCACAAAGAGGGAGAGAGAGGAGGAGGAGCCCTTATATTAACGAACAAGAGGAGGAGCTACGAAGAAACGTGTCCTGGAAAATGAACGCGTGTATAGACGAAAGCAGCGTGCCACCTTGAAGAGGGGAGCGCCATTTTTGGACATACGACAAGAAGAATCTGCAATTCCGCCGCGCCGGGTTGATCCTGTGTCTCCTCTCCGCTTTGGAAGTGATGCCGGGTGATCATCTCAATTCTCAAATTCTCAACCACCGAGTCATGGGCAAAAGTGTTGGCATTAGCTTAGATGTTTGCCAAGCGGACCTTCAACGCTGACAACTCGGTACGAGTGGTGATCACGGAGCCTTCTGGACAGTCACTTGTCTAAGAATGCGTTGATTGGGGATTTATGGATGGTATATGATATTATCACAATGGTATCAATACTATCATCGTTCACTGTGACTGGCGAGTGGCGASTGGCCTAGAGAAAAACGGAAACCCATCTAACAATTCAACGCTGGCTGCCTGGGTTGCTGTGTAATTACTAATTAGTGATTTGGCACTTTGGCTTCTTTTGTTTCTGTATAAGCATTTGGGCCAAAAATTCGGCCCAAGAATTGCCCGTACAGACTCGGACCGGGCCGGAGGCAGCGTTTTACCATGACATTGGGCCTTGCCTTGCCTTGTGATAGTTGGGCCCGGGCTTCAACTTATTAATGTTGTAAGTTGTAACCAAGCTTAGCGAATGTGTGTTTAATACATATCGTCTCCCTTTGCATGATGCTAAAGCCTAAGGAATGGCAACGCGGCGGGGATCGTCCCCAGACCCCATCCCCGATTTTGGATATTCCCGTTTCCAACCTCGACGGGACGCGGGTCCCATGCCGGATCTTTGAAATTTTTTGATTAATAGTATTTTTTAAAAAGTAAATAAAAACTTTAAAACATCAATAATATTTTAAATGCATTTTCACAGAAAAATAAAAAATTCAAAAAAAAATAAAAAAATGGTCAAAACTGTTCAAATGGTTAATCGTCCGGTTCAGCGGTTCGTTGATCAAAATCAACGGTTTTTGGGGAAAATATAATTGATCAAGTGATCGGTTTCCGGTTTTCCAATCCGACCATCCGGTCTGGTTCAGTTTTGAAAACCATGTATTCAATATATAATTAAGGTCGGGGCAAGGCTGGTCAGGAATCCCTATTAATCCCTATCCTGCCAAAGCAATCCCCATCCCCAACCCCATCAGGTTGGGGAAGTCAGGTACCCATCGGCCCCATCCCTGCYTAAGTGCCCTGAAACTCATTTTCAAAACTTCAAGTTGTCGTATAGTTCTACAGTTCTAGTTGTTTAAGTTGCTTAGCAGAGTTCTTTACAAAAACTTCCTTTTCTACGTGAGAGAGTTCAAAACTCCAAGTCGTCTTATAGTTCTATAGTTCTAATTGGCTTGCAAGAATAGGGGTTTGAAATCGGAATCATAATGGGCCATTTCAATTCCAATTGTTTGGTTGGATGAAATGGGAAAGTGGAATGACATTTCCCCATTTAAGGGAATGGCATAGGGATGGCAACTTTCCCCGTAAAACTGGGCCTCACCCCAAATTATATAGGTTTTCCCTGATCTTAATCGGGGACTTTTTCCCCGAAATGGGGATGGGATGGGGGCAGTGTTTGTATATAATTCCCCGAATCCAGTGATAAATTATTAAAATATGCCTAGGTTTAATATTAGTTTCTAAAATATCTTAAATTTCCCCCAAATTCCTAAAAAACTTTAGGATCCCATAATCTAATGTTTAAAATACCCCTAAATCCCATAATCCAATACTTAAAATACCCTTAAGTTACCATAATCCAATTTATGAAATACCCCAAATATGATGTATTTTTAGGTATTGACTCGACGTGAGGAAAACATAGGGATTCTCCGTCCCCAACAAAAAGGAGATGCCCTGCCCTGCCACCAAGGATGGGGTAAGGGATTTTGGCTATGCGGCAGGGAGAGGGAGAGGGTCCCCCGCCCCATTGTCATTCCTAGAATTGCCATTCCCTCCCTTTACTTTAGAAATTAAATTCCATTCCAGCTTATTTCAATTCTCATTTAGATTCCTATTTGAACCAAACAAAGTTGTTTTAAAAACCATTGGATTAAAATATTGACACCTCTATTTTTTATTTATATTAAAGGACCGGATATTAGTTCAATCCGACCCAAATCAATATAAATCCATTATGGATTGACCAGATCCAATAAATACTTGGACCATTATGTCTAGACTGGTCCAATTCAATATATCTTATTGGTCCATCTAAATTGATTGTGATTTGGATGGGTCTAACCCAAAACCGGTTCATTTATACCCCTAATCCTAACTAGGTTATCTAATGAAGAGAATCACTTGAATCGAAATTGCAGAATAATACTATAGTAGTGTAGAGAATTTCAAGCTAGTACTCTATATCAGACCTAAAAGCTCTTTAGCTACCGGAATATGGGACACAATTTATAACAAGGTTTTTTAAACTGGACTGGATAGGGAAACGTTATGGGGAGTGGTTTTCGAGTCAAACAATCAGATCATCCAGTCCGAACGGATGGCCTGTTTTGACAAAAAAAAAATCAGAAACAAAAAATGGCCAAAACCATTCGACTTTTGACAGATCGACCACCCGGGTCAATAGTTCGCTGACCAAATCAACAGTTTTGGCCAAAAAGCAGTTTGGGTGAAACGGAACTGGTCAGATAACAGGTTTCTAGTTTTTCTAGTCCGGTCCAATTTTGAAAACACTGGTTTATAGAATATAAATCTCATAAGCTCTTTACCTCACCAAAATTTGATAATTTTGGTAAAAAAACACCACTTAATAGGTTCGATTTAGGGTTCTTGTTAGGCTGGTCTGTTTTAGCTACATTCTAAAAACCTCCAAAGAAAAATGCACAAATTGGGAGCATATTGTGTGGCATTGCAGTGGTACATTTTAAACTTCAAGTACTAAAGTCATTTTAGCCCCAAAGTACAAGTACTAATATACAATCTACTCAATTATTAATTGTTTTAATATAATTTTAATAAATTTAATTTAAATTTAAAATTAAATATAAATATAAATTAACTAATAAGATACAAAATTTAGTACAATAAATAACATTAATTTTACTATTAAAAATGATCAATTTATCAAATTTCAACATTTATTAATAAAAAGTATAATAATAATAATAATAATAATAATAATAATAATAATAATAATAATATATTATTATTATTATTATTATTAAGCAAAACTATGGAAAAATTAAGACAAAAGGAGTTTTTGTGATATTTCTAATTGGCCCAAACCAAACCAAAAGGAAAATTGACATTTAACTATTGTCTTGCATGGACAATTGACATTGTCGCTAAATGTTAATGGAAAAAACAAAATGTCAAGTTTACCTTCTACTATTCCACAAATTATCAAAATAAAACCCAATTTCTAATTTAAGAATATAGGAAGCATATCTCTGTCTCAGCTTTGAAGGAGAAAATACCTAAACCAGAATGTTAAATAGTAATATCCTTGGTCACACTAGCATCACTGGTTAAATCGGAACCCGAAATGAAACCGGGGTAGTCTGAAATCGATGTTTGTGACAGACGACGACGATGCTTGTGGCATCTCATATTTTCCTCTAATCAAATAACGGGGAGTTGGATTAAATACTCTCTGTTGAACCTGGAGTTGCGGTGATTTGTGCTGCAATTGTTTGTGCGACGGCCACTCTTATCGTTCGCCATCAGATGTGATGCTCAGGCTATTGGGCTCGGGCGAGGGGCAATGGCTATCCTTAGCGAATTTGAAGAAAAGTATGCGACGCCGGTTGGGAAGCTCAGACAAGTGGCTGACACCATGACAATGCCTTCATCTTGGGCATGTCCATCTGGGTATGCCCGACGATATATCAGCCCGAGACGAATAAATTTCATAACGAAGAAATTTCTTGGGCAAAATCTCCCTGCAACTAAAACACTGGTATTACTTCGAGCTCATGTTCGTCCTGAAAACAGAATGGAAAATATGATTAGACGAAAGAGAAGAACAGAGTTGGGATACTCCCTTTCACATATTCAAACAGAAAAACAAATAAATTAAAAGAGATGAGGGAGAGGGGAGAGCGGATGCTTTCATGGACAATTATGTTTTAGGTATATAGTTAACTTTAAATCTATTTAAATAACAATAAATGTTAATACAAAATTTACAAATGTTAATTCCATTTAAAGTGCAATAAATGGTAATACAAAATTTGGCCACTCTCACTCTCATATGTAATTTGGATTGCAGTTGGTGATGGTGTCATGGAACTACTTGAATTGAACTTGAACCAACTCAGCTCAACTGAGAATGTCATATAACTACTTTTGCTTCAATTTCTCTTAATAAAGCTCATGCATTGCATGAGTCCGAAATAGAAAATAATGATAGAAAAATCATCATAAAACAATGCTAATTTTAACTTAACAATAATAAAAAATAGGGAAAATTCCATATTAGTATCGTGTATTTTGTGCCTAGTGTCATTTTGGTCCTTAAATTTTAAAATGCGATAATTCAATACCTAAACTATCAAAATGTGATAGTCCAGTACCTACCATTAATCAACAGTTAATATGTCGTTAAGTGACATTTGAAAAGGACACAAATGCCCTTCGAGTGTGATTTAATTTTACATTGACAAAAAATTAGCAGTCCCAAATCCTTGTTTTTCCATTCAAGAAAGTTGGGGTTACTTTTGAGTGGGCATTTTGGTGACTCCAACTTTCTTGAATAGAAGAGGCAAGGATTTGGGACTATTAATTTTTCTGTCTAATCGGGAATTTTCCCTAAAAAATATAGGTCAAGTAAAAACTGATAAACAAAAATATATATAATAATAAACAAAAACTAATAATGTAAATTAATTTATTAATTTTTTGTGTATTAACATAATTATTTTTTTATTAATTAACGTAGTTAAATTATTGTTATTTTTTTAGTTAATCCAAACTATTACAAATTTGGATGGAGAGTTTGTTAGGGGTGCAAATGGATCGGATCATGATCCGATTCGATCCTATTTTGGTCGAATTCGAATCACCCTTGGTCGGATCGTATTCAGATCACCCCCTATCCGATCCGAGAAGATCTGATCCAATGTATATATATTTATAATATATAATACATATATATATATATTATTTATATTGTATTTTTATAAATTTGTTATATTATTTGTTTTTTATAAAAAGCATGTATATATATGATGAAAATAATTAAAAAATACTTGTACTTTTCATTTTTTCTTTATTTAAATTGGTATATTTATTTTTTAATAATTTTTTCATTTTTAAGAAAATAAGTCAGATCAAATCAAATCTGAAGATCCGATAGGATTCAAATTCAAATCGAGTTCTATCAGATCCGACATGAACAGTGTTGGGTCATATTCGAATATACCMTAATCCAGACTTGATC